TTATCAGCTTAGTGTTGAAAAAAACACACCACGTCAGAAAATCAACGATTGTGAGTTTATATGAAAAAAAAATTTAGAAATCCTAATGGATCTTTAAAATAAAAAATAAATTTAAAAAAAGTTTTCGCAGTGCTTTGTAGTGCGTAAAAAATAGAACTCCGAACACCGAAACGTAAATTTTCTGAATGTGAATTATTAAAAAAAAATATATAAATGATATTAGTTTTTTTTGCTTTTCTTAATCTATCTAAAATTTGATTTTGATGACTTCATAACAGTAAACATCATGACCGCATTGTGACGGGTATTATTAATTATTAAATATTGTTCTCAGCGCTGTTGTGTGTATGTTTATTATTATAGTTATTACGCTGTCGTTTTAAACTTGTCGTACATAATATACTTTTTTGTTTGCAGAATTATAATACGCCACTGCAATGACACGGAATATGAACAACAATAGACACGAATTGAGCGTTCTCAGTTTGTTTTTCAATTTGCAAATGAATTGGCGGAATAAATTAATATAGCGGATAACGTTAAAAAAACAAGGAGAAATTTGACAACTCTCAATAAAAATTATTAAAATATTAGAACATAATGACATTGTAATTATGTCTTATTAAATTAGTGTCCGTCTAAAAAGAGGTAGGAACTATCATGAAAGAAATCCAAACAAGAGTCTTATCGAGATCGTTTGGTTTACATCCGCGCACGACAGTGAAGTCGCATATTATTATATTATTTTCTGGTTGTGTTAAGTTAGTCAAAAATCACCTGTTGGAAGTTCACCATACTATGCATCACTGAGAAAATCAAAAATTATCTTTTCAGAAAACGACCGAGCACCTTCGGCTGCCTAAAAAAAACTGTTGTAATAAGATACCCATGCACATTATTTTTACATGACTTTTTTCAGTATGGCTATTTATAAACCATAGCACGCTATCGTTATTTTTCCTTTACAAAGAAAATCTATGAATCATGAATATGTTTTTGTTAATAAGTAACCATAACAACGAAAACCGTACGAAAAATCAATCAGTCACATATTTATGTTAAAAAGTAAGAAAATATGCATAAAACAGTTTTAAACATCATCTCGACAGATCAATTTAAGAAAAATAAATTCATAATAAATTAATAAATATAAAATAGGTACTATTATATTATATCATATAAATTGGCTATTTGAAATTATTCACTGTGCATATTTTTCATTGAAACTATGTTACTATTATTATCTTATAGTGGCTCATAAATCTTTTTTGCCAAGTACATACATATAATTTATAATACAATATCCCCTCAATAAGAACTCGGCCCATGAATATTTTAAATATTATTCTTCGTGTATTTTATTACTATGGTTCTGCTTATATACACATAATATCGAATTCCAATCGATTCTTCTTTTCCGTCCATATTATAAAATATGATATAGGTACTTAATACGTAATTCGTATGTCTGAAGGCACGCGTTCAACAAACCCATTAATACACCGTATAACGAAACCACATGTTGCACGATTTTCGTATTATTAATTAATTGGGTACAGATGAGATGACTGAATAAAACGAATCCATTTTTCAAGACTTCGTGATGTGCTTAATGCCTCGTTTGGCAATAACGTATTGATAGAGTTTGCATTGCCTCATACATCATGTCATCTTTACGTCGACTGTTTTTAACTCCAAATCCATAATGATTGGTAATATATTATTATAATAATATTGTAACATATTGTAGGTACCTATAAACTCAACTACCAGTACGAAAACACTTTGTAATCAATGTTTGGCACGTTCCGTACAAAATTTTTTTTTCTTTCCTTCACGGGACATAAACGAGTTCCTTTTTTAGTTAAAACAAAAAATAATGGTTAAAATAATAGATATGTAAATTAGAAAATTAAATCTTCTATTTAATTTCTAGTTTTGAGTAAACTAACACAACATGTTTTACATATGAAACCTTTTATAAGTAACTGTTATAGGTTTATTTTACCTCCACGATCTTTATGACAATTTGAAAAAAAATAGATATCACTTGGTGTTATGTGCTTGCAGCCTGCACTTTAGAATATTTAAATGTTTGTATATTAGTGCCAGAAATTGATTCATATATTTTGATCTGTTGGTATTGATCTGTAATTGACCGAAAACATGTTATAATTATTTATACCTATTTTCCTTGATAAAATAATTTTGTTCCGTTTCTCTTTCTTTTTATAAAAATCAATTTGTTCAACATGTCTACTCTCTTAAAAGGAACTCATTTCTTCCAAACAGTAGCATCAAACTTCTTAAAATGAACTCAGTCCAAATGAAAATAAAACGGATACAAGCCGCCACAATAAGTCTACATTTTATATTTCATAAAAAAAAAACAATTTGTGAAAGTCTAACTTGCTTAACTCCCAAAGGAAACGTCGATAACGAAATACATTGTCATTCATCACACGTAATTCGATTTGTGCCGTGTACGAAATATCTATAACGGTATGTATACAATTAGTACCTATTATAATAGTAATTAGACACGTCTTATTGTCTGAACTGAATAAATAAGTATTTATCATTTCTTGATTGCAATCCATCTGGTGATGAATCGCCGTTCGTCCAGCTATAAGATATCTTCAGTCAACAACCACATTTAAAAATTAAAGTGCAATCCCTAACATCGAGTTACACTGCAACTTCCAAACAATGATTTTTTATTATACATTTTAAACCGTTCATATAAGTAAATTGCACAAGAATTGTGATTATTATGTAATTATTATGTTATATAGTGCGATTTTGTCTCAAGTCCCGAGGAATTCCACCTTATATTACGGTGTATTATTACTGTCTCGTGTCAGTCTCGTGTCACTGTTTTAGATTCTAAATGGTCAAGTGGAACAATCAATGAATGTATTGATTGTACAATTATGTGTGTTTTGTTTTTGTGAATACGTGATTTAAAGTAGAAAAAATACTTTGATTTTCAACATTAAGGGGTGGTTTCTGGTAGAAAATTGGATCTAGCTAGTACTTTTGAGGGATGGAAATTTAACTTCTAGTATTTTTCAAAATATAATCGATGAAAACAAGAACAAAAAAATAAGGACAAACACGGAATTTTCCGTGAGTCCTCTTAAAGATCTTCATCTACCAACCTCATATGAAAATCAGTGGTCAGGTCGTGCGGCCTAAACCTAAACATTGAGTGCCATTGCTCCCAAACACTGATTTATGAGACGTTTTAAAACGAAGGTCTAGGTACATAAAGTACATTGCACTGGGATTTATTGTGATGATGTCATAATTATGACGTTATGTAGTGCAATTTCGTTGCACGTGCCGAGGAATTTCGTCGTGTACCTATACAATGTATTATATTACTGCTTTTCAGTATCATATCACCGTTTTAGATTCTGAGCGGAACAATGAATGTTTAGATTTTACAACGATGTGTGTAATTTTTTTTTGTGTATTCATCAACGTGATTTATAGTTGAAAAAATTCTTCAATTTTCAACAATAGGGGAAGTTTCTGCTGAAAAATTGGATCTAGTTAGTACTTTTCAAAATAATCGGATTTTTTTTGATGTACCAAACACAAAAACGAATAAACATAAATTCTTTAAATTACGACCAAATTTTTGTATTAGCATTTTGTATACATGATACATTTTTTAAAATCTTTTGATACTTTTTGAGCTACATTCATAGTCATTTGAAATTGTTTTTATTTATAAATGTTGATAAAAAAAAATTGTTTTGGTAAAGAACCTTGAAAATTAAATAGAAGGTTCCTCATAAATTGTTATTGGTGGGATGAAAAAAAATAATTTAGTGTAAATCCATAATTATTTTTTATGAATGTCTGAAGTTAAATATTGAAGACATTAAAGTGATATGGTCTTGATAAGGTAATTATTACTTTTAACATATTATATTAGTATACTTTATGCACATAATTACACTGGGAAATGCAATGTTATCGGCAACAATTAATTCAACACAAGTCGTATTCCTATAAATGTAAAATAAAATATAACTGTGTAGCTAAATTATCTTAAAATATATTTAGTTTACTTTGTCTGATGGACACTCTCCTCTCAGAATTGTTTTTCATATTATGCATTGATACTCTGCTCTGAAACATTGTTAGTAACACTGAATTCAATTTAACACACCCATTACAGTGTCCTATACTGAATGACGATAGGTACTCATGGGAACACCCACGATGTGGCGCGGAATACCCCAAAATATAGAACGATATTATTCAATATCGTTACATCGATATGCTCAAATACACCTCTGCATAAGACATAAAAGCAATGTGCAATTTGGTTGCACCGTGCCGAGGAATTCCGCCGTACATTACAGTTTATTATATTCTATGTCATATGTGTACCTACTGCATTTCAGTCTCGTGTCACAATTTTTGTTGTTTTTTTTTTTATATATATATTTTTAATTTATATTTTTTTTTACCTATAAAGTCGTTTTCACGTCGAATCAAATCCTGTTACACTCGACTGTTTTTTACCTGCGTCGGAATCGCCTTCGAGTTCGATCGACCGCGACTAATCACCGTGTAACCACCAATAATATAATATTATTATAAAACTGTATACGACATACGTATTAAGCCGAACATTATATATATTATCATTATTATTGTGTAATATCTGTACGAACGTAACGATGTATAATATACTTGTAACGATAGTTGGCAACGATTACAATACACTATGTAACGAGGAAAAAATCAATACCGACTTGTATATTATACTCGGACCTAAAAAATAAGCGATGATGATAATGATAATGATGATGCAATATAATAGGAGATGATACAAAGATAGAGAGCGAATAAACTTGGTGAAATTAGACAAATAATATATTTTATAAATAGTCGGTAAATAATCATATTGACAGAAAACGAAATATGGATTAAAAATAGATGATAACGTAGAAAAATTAACCATAATCACTCGTACTCACCAAGTGTCGGAAATATGGCCACTAGATAAAAAGCTAAAAGCTGATGATGAACTAGCTGAGTAGCTGACAACTTCACGACATATTGTACTGCAAGGACCAAACGTACAGTAAAGTCACCTGCAAAAACAAAAAAATCATAAGTATTGAAAAAAAATCGGAATCGTGCCAATTGTTTTGGTCAAGGTTTTATTAAAAAAATATTATAAATATACAAAAATATAATATGTAAAATGAAAATAATAAAAATAAGTGTATTATAAAACTAATGAGTTATGCTCATTCGTGACCATAATTATATTATAGAAACTCTAACACTCGAATGAAAAAATGTACTATGATTATTAAATATTATGATTTTAATACACTGGAAAGTCGGTGTACATTGCGGAAGAGTACCCACGCGAGTATGTCGCATACTCGCATAATATATTTGAAGCCACTTCGTCTGCAGATAATAATATTAAGTCACCGAAATACGATATATTTTGTTTTTTTGCCAATATTTCGATATTGTGTTCTCGGAGGTCGTATAGTTTTCTCACACAAGGTACAACGTACAAAGTGCAATATTGAAAGTGCCTATAATCGATTGATACTAAATATTTGTTCTACATAAAAAACTGGCATTCTCTCCCATAACACAACTGAAGAAAATATTGATTTTTTCAACAGTGGTAATATTAATAAGTTCAAACCGTGTTTAATTTTATATAAAAATAAGAATTCAAAATGTCGTAGCTATATCTATTAATGAATGTTATTTTTAATTTGGTCTAGTATATTAATATATATTTTATTTTGCACAGGGAATACGGTCACTTAGAAGGTCAAGGGAAGAAAACGTCAAAGAAAGAAAGTGAGACCCGGGATGGGTTGGAATGAGTTAGCATTGGATAGGGAAATCTGGAGACAAATTTGTTGAACGACATGGTCTTGAAGGGAGAAGTCACAGAAGAAGTAGTACCTATATTAACATATTTTTAAATATTTTAAGCTATTATTGGCTTATTCTATACATAATATGTTATTGCTATTATTATTATTATTATTAAATACGCTGAAGACTGTGGCTGTTAATAATAAAATCAAGATAATAGACAGATTTAAAAACCCATTCTAGCCCATTGACTATGTTGACTATGAATAATACAATACTAAACCCGAGTTTAACCAAGGTCTAAGAATTAAACCAAGTTTTTTGAAACATAGGTTAAACCTTAGTTTTTGACAATGACTATGGACAACGCTGAAATAGTTCGGGTGGTCCATGGACGTGATGGAAACCTCGATGGCACATTAATGGCGAATTTCACAAGACGTGCACGATTCGGACTTAGGGTGCATATATTATAATATGTATTTGAATTGTCCACATGGAAGTCGAATCGCTTCAAACGGACTTGTGTGCGTTTGTCTCAGTTAATTTCGAAATGCAACTAGTGAAACGATAATTGGATTATTATATTATTTGACGCATGCCGTCGTCCGTACAACAGGTCGATAATGATATTATGTTTTGCGCACTTTTCACCCACAGTTACGAAAAATAGTAAGTACCTTAGAATAATAAATAATATTGTAATATCGTAAAACGTATACGTCCGATACAATATTATTACGATATGTTTTCCGTCTAAAATGTTGCATCACTCATTCGTGGCACTTGTTCCAAATAGGTTTTCGTGTTTATTTACAATACAAATTGCACATATATTATTATTAATAATTTGTGTTTACTCTTTACAAATGTACAATAACTAGACACCTGCTCATCGAACATTAAGCACTCGAGTCCGTAACAAGATACTTTTGAGCGACCGTATCAAATTATTTGTCAAATCGATTCTTTAAAAAGGTTTTTCATAAAATGTCAACCCGTGTGTTTTAAACTAAAAATTCTGAAACTGAATAGAGTTCTATGAAATGGTCGGTAAAAAAAATGTACTCAAAAAGGGACAGAATAGTATCCATAAAAATTTCAAAATTTAGATAAATTATAGTAGAGATATCTTATAGAGACTTCAGACTACAGACTATAGTGTATCTGACAATACAGGGCGATTCGCCAAGCACCCCTTTTCCCTCTAATTATGTAGTTATCAAAAACTGATTTTCGGAACTTTTAAATACACCTACTATAGAACCGTATTTTTAAGTTCTTAAGATTTTTCGAACTTCGGAGTGTTTTGGAGAGATATAAACTCCTAGCTGTTTTTCAAATGAGAAAAACCCCCTTTTCTATTATAGATAAAATTACCTATTAAAAGTTAGTTTTTCCGAATATTTTATAGCATCAAAATCGATGTTTAGATAACTTTTAAATTATTTAATGTTGTGGACTAAGAATAAGGCTTGGAAGATAATATGAGGTCTATGAGGTGGTTTGAAATTTTTAGTGAGTTATATTAACCGATCAATTTTGAAATATAAATACATCAAAATTTTAAGCAACAAATGTCCACTCAATAAAATTTACGGTAAAAAATGATGGTTCTCTTTTGGGAAAACAGAAATTTGTATTTCCACAATAAATTTACATTAAATCACGTTATGTACGGAACGGATTCGGAAACTATTGGTTAATGGTTTCTGTTACCAAAATTCAAAGTCTATTAATTATTCTTGATTTTCCCACTTTCTACATATACCTACCTACATAGATATTAGGTACCACTGTTAGGTATAGGTATGTAAGAATATACCACGATCTAATGCAAAATATATAATCATTATCATTCTTCAAAAATACGTGCATTGCACCAGTATAGTAATGCGTGTAAATGAAAACTCTTATAGTAACACGATATTAAATTACATTTAAACGAATGAAACGCCTATTGCATTAAAAATTTATAAAAAGTGCCTCAAAAGAAACTGTGCGTGACCGGTAGTGTACCACCGACTACATTTTTACTATTATATACACGCCTCGATTAAAAATTACGAAATCGTTTCTGCACCAATACCTAGAATACGCATACAATATGTTTATTGTATAAGTATGTATACTAAATTGATTTTACCGAAATCGGTGTGGGTCAAAATCAACTCTCAGACTTTAGATGCCTAGCACTAAAAATAACTATAATAATTCATGATATAATATATGCTTTAATAGTCCCTAAAAATATACAAAAAATATCCGAAAAAAAAGTTTTGTGTATAGTAAATAATATTATGGTATAAGCATCTCATAAAAGGTATACCTATGCAATTATTGACATTTTTAATTTGTTATATTGTTACAAAAAAATGAATAAATGATTCACTTTAATTAATGTTGAAAGCAATACTCATCTGAAAAACGTAATATACAAAACTTCCCATTACTAAACTACGATTTAATGAAAAACAAAATTATGAATGTGTACTAATTACATGTTATTAAATGTCTTTATAAACTAAAGATAAATATGAATCAAAACACAAATCATAAAAAATAGCTCCAAAATTGGGAAATGGCACATCAAAGTTCAAATTTAAAATGCGTAAAATATACCCAATAACATTTTATACATATTTGGAATCCTTGATACATATAACAAATATATAATTATTACCATGGTACTTTTATCTGTATTTTATAGTAAAAAGCAACAATTCTATAGAACTAGTCAGAGCCCTGGTCATATTATTACTACTTAAAACGAGTTCTCAAAGGACAAAAAGTTTTGCTTGAAAAATTTCATGATATATTATTATATTATAAATAACATATTAATATGTTTTTAAATGATAAGTCAGTAAGCGATATTTGTTAGTTTTTCAACATAATATTATGGTTTTCGTTTGAAAATTGTTTTTCTGACGTAACTACGTTTTTGAAAACCAATTATTATGTTTAGGTATAATATAGTTTATTATAACAACTATGACCGTCGACCAACATACCCTCCCCCAAGAGAAATATGTTCAGAAAATTAAATTCCTTCAACCATGACTAGATATGGTGATATTTTTACGTTAAAGGAAATCATAGTGGCTTTATGCCATAAGCCAGCTCCAATATGATTTTCAAGTCCTATGACTTAAAAAATAAATGTTATACTTTTTCTTTACGAATTCTGTCCATTATATAACAGACATTTAAATATTTTTTTTGTAGGAGTAGAAAATATTTTGAGTTTTTACTTAAAAGGTATTCCTATTGATGCTTGCGTAAAACGGCAACCGTCGATTTAGTCTTAAAAATGAATTCCGAAAAAATGTATTGAAAAAATCACTATTGATTAATAAATTAACAAATTTATGCATATTATATAAGCATCTATTAGAACAAAAGTATTTTTTTAAATACTTATATTATTAACAGTAATGAAAATATAACAATACTATCGCATATCATTGTTTTTTTTCGAGTGAAGCAAGAACATTCTCTTATAGTTACGTATTATTTTGGTGTGTCAAAATGTTAGCCACACCGAATAATGATTGCAGTGATCGATTTTAGTCTAATAAACCAAAGTCTAAAGCAATGCATATTGACTCGAAACAAACAAACTTACCTAATCTACAAAATTAACAGTTATAATAATTAGGATTTCTGTTTGATTAATATTTAGCGGAACGATAAAATCCGGATAGATTTGTAATTTTGTAAATAATGTCGGTCAATGAGATAACGTAATACAAATAATAATTTTTTTAAAAAGACCAAAACGTTATGTTATCATCATTGTGTAAATCCAGATATAACAGACGAATAAACACAAACCATTTTAATGGGAATAGTTTAATAATACACGAGTTTAATTATTTAGTTAACTTCAAAGTAATATAACAGCGTTAATTGTAAGTAAATACTTAGTCTGGTCGATATTATTTTTTCTCAGAGGAATATTTCTACTGATTACAATTTTCTATTGATATAGTCGTCAGTCTCACTGATAATCTTAGAAAATAATGTTATGATCGATCATGTTGTTTGACATAATATCATAAAAGCCAAGACAAGACGATAAAGAATTGTCCGATCGCCTCGGCACAGACGCATCGTGCCCAGTGTCTTATTATTATTACTAAATAATGAATTTAATAGCAATAATAAATCATGGCATTCGAAAAAAATGACTGAATAAACTATCTGATATAGATTTTTGTATATTGACTTTTCGAAATCAAAGGGCTTATAAAAATAATTTGAAATTTTCAAAATATATTCAATATTCTTATTAAAAATATATTATGATTTAAGCAACCTTGTATTAAAATCTCAAGTATTTAGAAAATCACAAAGTGAATTATAAATAAAAAAATATTTAAGCTAGATGATTTTTCTACGTTTTAAAGTTAGAAAAATATCCTCTGACCAACGAAAGAATGGCACTTATTAAAAATTTTGCAATTATTGCACATAATATATAAACGTAAATCATTTATCACGCACCACACTACCGTAATTTTAGCTTGTAGGGGGAAAGAGTTTTGGCTTCTGATTTAACTGGAAATAAAAATTATCTTATAGCTTGATTTTAAATTAAAATAATATACGATAACGAGTCGCGTATATAAAAAAAAAATATAATTTTATATTTACATATGACACATCATGGAAATAAGAGAAGAATTTATTGTATTTTTATCCCTATACTATATGGACCAACGATGACGCTGAACATGGTTCCTGTAATTAGTTCCAACGGTGAAAAAACACAGACGAGTTAAGCGTGAAATTCGCGGTGTTATCCAAACAAAATATTATGAATGTGGTCTTTTTTTGGGGGAGCGGGGAGAGAGGTGCTTGTCCGTTTTGCAATAGATCGTTTTCACCAAAATACGCTTCACGACTAACGTTTGTTACTGACGCAGTTGGACGAGAGATATTTTGTTCTTCAAATTTTGCTTGAACCCTAAAGTACACATTCGTTTAAATATTATCACAATAATTGTATTATTGTTATAAATACGAACCGTTGTAGTATTTTATTCATGAAGTTGTACGTTTCGTGAGCGCGACGAATATGTCTGCATAGGTCGTTATTATTATACTCACAAGACGGATACGATAATATTATATTTTAATCACGTCTCCCTTACGGACACGCGTCAGAGTGACCCTCCCCACCCCCCTCGTCCAAAAAAAAATAAAACTTTTGAAAATATTATCGAAAACCACGGGTAACATAAAGTAGTAGTAGTATACTTTCGTACCGAACTGTTTTCCTCGTCAAATCAAAAATTATTATTATTATTTTTACTATTGATTACAAAGTATTATCGAATTGCTTATAATTGGGCAAATCGGTCATTATGTAGTGTATTATAATAATACGCACAATAAATAATAATAAAATATTATCATACAATAAAATATAATTCGTTCGACATTTGGAGTGCGGTAACGGACGTATTTGTATTCGGTACAATTAAAAGGATATCAGCACACTTTTTGTTTTTTCTCTCTGACCCAACATATAGTAAGTAAATATATGTTTAACAGAACTAACAATGTGTTGTAACTTTTAATATTATAGTGAATTAATGATTATTTTTTTGTTCTAGTACAAGAAATAATAAATAGTATAACGACATGAGAAATACTAGTAGAAGTTACTCTACACTGAAGAAGGACCTCGAGTCGTAGAGTTAGAGTAGGTTCTTATTTGGTGACAATATAGTAGATAAATGAAAAAGATTAAATTAAACATAGTTAAGTTAAAATGATTGAATATAATAAGACATTTTATAAGCCGTAAAATATAAATATATATATAAAATAAAAAACATTATCACCTAATAAATATCATCAACCTTTAAGCTAAGAACATTAACTGTGTTACGATATTTAAATTGTTATGCAGGTTAGATTAGGTATACATTTAATTACATTAAATTGCACTGACTTACAAACAGATTAAAATAGCATTAAATAATCAAAAGTAGGGACACGGGTAATGTTCTTAACTTGAAGTTTAATAATATAGGTGCAACCACTTAGATATTAAAAGTTATAACACGGAAATTGGTTCTGCTAGACGTAAATTTGCTTTGTGCCAGAGAGAGAAAACCAATAGTGCCCTGACATCTTCTTAAAATATTTAATAATAATATTATTACAATTATTATTCTATTCCTAAACTGATACCGAAAACAAACCTTAAATCGTTTTTTAGGCTTGTAAGTGAAACGCACATTGTACAGTACGCATTAAGCATATTACGTCGGTGCAATCATCGCGCTTCGAATATTATATATTATGATAATATTATAGTGAAATTAAAATGTGAGAATAATAATAATGTAATATATTTTGCAAATAATTCCGTTTCGTACATGGATAACATGGCTCACAGCTGTGTATAGAATATAGATATAACAAAATACAAAATTATAAAAGTAAGAGTTTTTTTTTTATTCAACGTCAGCTTTGGTGACAAGGGCCGTTAGCTTTATAAGTAAGCGAATTTGAAATACTTGCGACCCTCCGATAATCTGATAGCTGATGTAGTGGAGGGTTTGACAGAGAGTTCACTGCGCAGTAACACAAAATAGTACTATTTTGATGTAAAATATTTTTGCAATATCACAACATCATATTATATATTTATGTGTTTTGAATTCAGTTTAAAATATTGTGATGGGACATTGATCGTCGTCCAACTTCACCGCGCTCTTTTTATCGATCGAGCCTGCAAACGTCTTATGCGACTTTTCATTTTCTGCAAATAACGCTGCAGCAATCAAACCGTCACGAAAAACCCGTTATTGATAATTCCACGTTTTATGGATTTCACGTTGAAATGTGACTCGAAACGATATTGTGTGTGTGTTCTATTTCGTGTAAAAATGCACAGCCAATCTAATAAAAAGCGAACGCGGTGTTCAACAGCGCCGATAGTCCTTGTCGACACGATTGAATTTCAGCTGACGTTTTATTTATTATTATTATTATTATTATTATTATTATTATTATTATTATTTCGAGTGCGACGTCGTAATATTATTGAACCTAATACCTACGCGGACAGGTAAAATATTCGTCGTCAATGATTGACATTCGCTTATAAAAAACGTACATTATTATTACCAATATAATATTATATTATAGCGCTACGAATTGTTTTACACGTCGACGTACGCTCACTTAAATTTCCACGACGAAACATCAACGCCGACAGCAATGCTCCTGCCGATAATAATGGAAACGTACCACACGAGTTATTATTTTCAACCGTTTATTTTTCGACTGTCTTTGGGAAGGCGATGAGTTTCGTCCAACTGCGCCAAGTAGATAACGATATAGTGTGCACTTATTTGATATTTTATAGGTGATCCACCTCCCGTCTACTATGAGCCAAGCTGCCGGTGTACATTGCACGAGATATAGAAATAGAAAATTGATGAGAGTTTTTGGAGTTACTCAGGTGAACTCGAAAGAGGAATATATATGAAAATATCGGGATTGAAAATGGGAGCTAATGTTTTGTTTGAAACTCAGTCAAGTTAAGGGGGTAAATTGGGAAAACAGGTTTCTCTGTACATCTAAATGACAACAATTCCGCCTTAAAATAGACATTACACCTACGAATATGTGGTCTGGCAAAGGCCATATTGGGTGTCGATATTTTGTACAAGTGCATGCTAGAGGGTGATGTACATTTCACATTCATTTTTTAGCTCAAAACATGCGCCATGTAAAACTTAAAAGTAAAGATATTTGAAAAAGTCGCTGTCGACAACAAAGACCATGGAACTTTTTTTACTCTAATGTTAGCATAGTGTAGCATGATGTGGTTCGGCACTGGCGTTCAAACGTATTTGTAAATAATTATAATCGTAACGGTTAACAACAAAATTGCTGTGCTAAAGTCCCAACCAGGACTCAGGAACGTTGCTTTGCATATTTAAAAAACTAAAAGAACCTAATCTAATTTTGTAATATGGGATTAATAATATTAGATATCATTATTTTTTACCCTTTGATATTATAAAACATTTTGGACAAAAAATAAATAATAATTAATTTGAATTCAGAATTATTAAACAAAGCTAAAAATGTTTCATTTTAAAATTATACTACAGTAGTTTTATTCATTGTAATTTATTGTTGAAGTAATACTTGTTTCTGTATGTTATATATATTTACTTTATGTTTAAAGAATTAATATCAAACTTACATTGGTCTTATATTTTTCTTTTTGTTATTAAAAAAGAATGAATGGAATTTGAATACAGTTTTATCTCTACAAAATATCTTAAAAAAGTTACAATATCATTCATTGAAATGGCATTACTCAATATATGATGTTTAATATTCACAGGAAACACTTTGATGTTTAGTTCAACAAAGAGAATACAAATATGTATTATTATTATGCTGTTCTGTATTTATTTATTTATTTATATAGGTATTCGTTTGATGAAAGTGCACCCACAACCTACGTGAGCAATATGGTACAATGTGTTTACAATACATGATAGAAGCGAGAATTATAATTATTGTTAATATAATAATATGCAATATGCTTAACATCGTTAAATGAATTTAAAAGATGATAAAACCGAAACTGATAAATCCCGTCACGGTGGCCATGGTATCTCGTGATCATAATAATAATATTCTGGAATGCAAAACTTTCGATGAAAATCTTATTCATATAACGACTGGAGAGTTGAAAGGCGTGAGCGGGTGGTTACCTCTGGTATCAAATGTGCGACTTTGAAACCAATATACGCGCTATTCGATCTATTTAAATTATAATTTATAATTAATAATATAGTTGCACTAAAAAAAAAAAGTACACATCGAAACCTTACCTGTCGATTAAAACTGAAAACCAGGTTGTGAATGGATCTTGAATTTATGAACAACCGCGAGATTACCAAGTTTGTTAACCAACATGGCGCGGTCCACTGAATCGAATGTTTTTCTTGAGTCTGTAAAATTTACATCAACTTAGCTACCACCGGAAAGTACGGAAACATGTGAATAAATTATGTAAATGGTAACGTTAAAGCTGTATCGCGTTACACGCAGTTGTTTGTCCACAAAAAAAAAAATATTATTTTCGGAATTTGTCGATTTCTTCTAAGTATTGTTATTAATACTATACCAAAATTGTTTATAATTTATATAAATACATGTATTAGATGACAGATTTGTTGGACTGAATTTTAACACAAAACATTTTCGGCTTAATGATCGTTCAAAATATTCATTCAGTCATGAATTAAATGATTATTTATTTAACTGTTTGCAGACAGGGATGCACTCGGCTGTGTAATGTACAGTTCAACTATGAGATTATTAAGGCATAGAACCGCCGCAAGAAAATCACAACTATTAAAATATTGATAGTTATTATTTTCTACCACGAAATTATAATGATTAAATTAAATTTTACATTCTCACTTTTGTTGTTAATGAGAGCATACCTAAACTTTTAATTAAACTGGACATAATATTGTTATATTATGAACAAAAATCATACAACATTTTTTGTAAACGGAGAAATAGAAAAAAACAACTATACTTAGGTAAATACTATAATATTAAATTATAATCAAAATAGAGCAGTTTATTTTTTATTTTAAATATTTTAAACTTATTGATATATGGAAGATCATTCATCGTTAATCGGATGAAAAGAAAACAATTATTATTATTTTTTTAATTACCACCTGGGTCACAAATAGTGATTGTGCAACTTTCAGAGTATGAAAGACTACCTCAGAAAATATAATAAAAGTTCAAATAAGTTTAAAAATGTATCCTACTATTGGTTGTTTTTGTTTATATTGCACTCAACAATTGTAGTTTCTTAAGAATTACAAGTTATTATCAATTAAATCATTTAATCAATAAATACTTATTAGCTTATTCTTATTTAAAACTTTGTAGGTACAGAGTTGATTAAACTAAAAATTATCAATTCATTGTTTTTAACTAAAATTTATATAACCTCGAATGGTATAACTAAACGTAATTTTTCTTTGAATTAACTTTAAAAATCTAATTTATTACAATAATCGTAAATTAGCCATTAAACGTTTTTAAAAAATGATACAATTTCTTAACTGTTCAAAATGATTTTGTGATTACTTATTATTGTAGTGTTCAAAATATGATATTATATTAATTAATATATTGAGCAATATGAAATTGACCAAGAACGCGTTTTTAATAGGAATCGACTTGTATTATTAATATTAGTGCAACACTACAACCGATGCTGGTGAGTTTAAAATTATAAGTTTTATAATAATATACAAACATGTGCATGCCTAGTTACCTACTAACCGATTTAATTCAGAAAGTTCGTAGCCGGCAATATGATGATGCAAAACTAAAAGAGCAAAACCGATGTTTGAAAAAATTTAGTTATTTTAGATAAGTGTAAGTTGTTATTAATTGTTTAATGAGTTTTCTTACGAAACCACGAGTACAAATATCATGTCAAAACCAATTTGTCCCTTTCTCAAGCTCCATACGAGTTTTACAAATTTCAAGATAGTCGCCTATGTTATGTTGTTATTATTATTATTAAGTTATAAGACAACACACAAAATTTGATAAAACCGTGAAAGTTTATATAATATTATGTACTAACGTACCGTCTTAATATGACATTATGACTTTATCAACAATGATTTTGAGTCAGTGGCCAAGTATGGTGCAGTGGTTGGCTCCAGTAACAGAAACGTGCTCCAAAGTCAAGCATCAGCCGGTTCCACTAGTCCTCGGATGGGTGACCACCAGGGTTTAGTGACAAATCCTTGCCTCATATTCACACTTGTTCTAACCAACCATAAACTACCCCACATTTAAAAACCTACTAAAAATAACAACCCAGTGGCTTATTTTTCTGAAGGTTGATCAATTAAAAAAAAAATAGTAATAATTTTGAGTGAACTTCAAAAATTACTTTTTTAACCCAAAGGATTAATATTTCATTTTCATTTTGCAATAATTAAATGATTATAAATACTATTCTAAAGGTAGGTTTATGTCTGTTTCCCACGCTTTTTGCATCAGTCATAACTTATGTAGTTTAAAATTATCAATTTTTTTATTTATTTAAACACATTGTTATAATAATATAATGTTAACCGTTGACAGTTAGATGTAAATATTGTCACTTCTTATATTGATGTATGTTGTAAGTACCCGTATATTGTTTCTCTGTGATATCTCGATAACTGCTATAAATAATTGAGTTAATATTGTTAGAAAAACAAAGCACACAAACGTCATTTAAATTTACAAAATTTATCAAAAAATGATTTTAGCATTTTATCTATGTTGCACTTTGGTCTGAGAGAGGAAACGAATATTGCACTGACATCTCTTAATTGAAATATTTGGCTTTCAACAATATTTCGTTTTAGTTAAAATATTTTTTTTTTATATTGTTACATACTCTTTGCTCTTTGATAACATTTCAAATGTAAAGACAAAATCAAAAACTGTTTTCCGGGAACCAACAATAAAATGATAATATTATATACATAATTATAGTGTTATTTCATTTATTTTAAGTACAGTTATCCAAAACAAATAATTTGATAAACTTATTTAATGTTAATGAGTTTTAAATTATGTATGTGAAATATTGATAATTTTCAAAGCGGATAAAGTATGCATTTTTAAAAGTGGTTATTGTTTGAAAATACCAAGTACAGTTGTTCTGACGAGATTAAATAAAATGACTTATTTGTTCCGGCATGGACATACGTTTAACTATTCAAGTCGCACGATAGTTTATTTGATTACCTAATCGTTGAAGTCGAAATCGAATTTGTTTTTAATCAATGTTATTATTAATATATGTTTATGCAACAAATAATAGAATATACGCAGGTACAAATATTTAAATGACAACTTGTCGCGGTTTTATTTACCGATCGGATTCGAATTCGGAATTGTTTATCCATCACTATTTGCTATCCCACGTATTCGATGTCAGAGAATCGGTTCGCACTGTGCATACGTGTACAGCCGACTGCCTGCCGATTGGCAATTTATTCTAACTGTGAAATGTATAAATTCAACTTTATTTCCCCGCACCTGCAGTCGTGAATGTTACCTAATAATAATTAAAAGTCAAGTTCGTGCTATTGAAAATTCCGAACGTAAAATAAAGTAAACGTGTACATTTGCCGACAGATAATAAAAAAATAAAATAAAAAAATTACGTAATAAATTGTATACACGAATCATTATTATTGTACTATTACCTACGACTACCATTATCGAAGTATTACATTTTTTTTTCAAACCGAATCGCTACCGAATAATTAAAATAGTAACTACCTAATTCAATGTGTATTTTATAATATTACGTAATTTTCAATTCTCAATAAGACGTGATATTATATCGTTATTAGGTCATACACACTTTCAACACTACACGCAGCAAAATGAGTGGGGGGGAAGCGTGTTTTTCCTGGAAAACACGTTTACGTAATCAATGAATTTATTCGAAACGGTTGAAATGACTCGAGTAACGAGTTTTAATGTCAGCTCGTGTGTTCTAATTTTCGTGGGCAAACCAAACTCGGGTAGGTAGTTTGTCAGGTAAAGCATGATGTTCGGAAGAGCGTGAGTCGTGGGTGAAGTAATTATAGAAGTTTACTAGTAACTGGGGAGCAACTGATTGATGATAATAATAACCTGTTGTGATTTGCAGTGTAAATGACGCTTAGTATTAGTACTTTTACTCAAATGTAACATTGAAAATAAACGTCGAACACACGTAATAATAATATAATATACACATTAACCTGAACATTATCCCGAACTTGTAGATATCGATCAATTCTTTAAAGGTTACAATCGAAGTTTCCTGACCTATTTTATTTCATTAGTCTTGATAAAAAAATAACATCGATGCCGATGAAGAGAATTGCCCCCCCCCCCTTAAACTTAGCGTCTACTGCAATTACCGCTATAACAATTATTGAGACAAAACTTTTATACCGCATGTGATTAGAATATAAAATGTTGTAATTTTTAGGGTCATCGAAATAAAAATCAAAACAATTAATTGTATTAGGTGTATTATGGCATGGCGGTGACTTATGTGGGGTTGTGAGTGACCACTAGAACAGTGACGGACATGTGTGGACAGTGATGGACAGTGATGGACAGGGATGGACTGAGTGCAAAGAGGCGTAGAGTATTTTCTGTTGGATAATAAGATTTCGTTTTAAAATGTGATGTATTATTACCAATATTATAGGATTGCCATAGAAAAGTAATTTTTGGGTTTGCTGTCGTATTGCTTTGATTTCTTAACTCGATAGTACGCGTATGAATAGACACACTGATAGCAGTACTTGTATACAATTCAATATTATCAGTTAGAATAAATTATGATAGCATCTATATTATATAGATTATATGACATTTTATATATATAGACTATATAATATATTATGGAAAATGCATTTCAATACTTTTGATTCAGTACAAAACATTATTATACAGCCTTGACGTTACTGAAGTGTGCATAATTATTCAAAACATTTTCGAATGCAACGAAATTTGGAAATTAGGAAACAATATTATTAGTAACAAATAACAATATTATAATATCTTTATAATGATGTGTAGTTTATTGAATATTAAGGTGAAAATAATTTTGGCATATATTTTATCTACCGAAATATTAAGGTCTTATTTATAGAATCCGACATTGCCATTAGAATACATACCAATAATAAATGTAGCTATATGATAGCTCAATAAAAAAAAGTAACTTATTATAATAGTATATAGGTACCTGTACTAACGAAAGTACATTAAAGTTTTAGTTTTAGTTCATGATTTTGGAAAAAAATGTATGAAATCGAGGTAGCTAATTAATAATGCTATACCTACCAATAAAATTGAAATATTGTAACGGTGACCGATTATGGTGGGGAGGGGGGGTCTC